CTATACTTGATTATTATGACTTTACAGAACTAACATTATGTAGTAACTATAATATTTTGGCAGAAACTAGGGGAATCATGGTGATTCTTCGTTTCTATAAACCCTAAAAAAGGAAATAAAGCTGATTTAAAATGATTCCGCATAACCCTGTTCTCTCTTTCCATCCTTACTGTGATTTAACTTGCTAATCACGGTCTCCACCAAAGTACCATATTATTATTAATATTTTATTACAGTAAAACTGTGGTTAAATTGTATTTGGCAAATATGACATCAAATGGGAGAGAAACAATCTTAAGGTGTTTACACTTTTTGAGAAAGATCCTGTATTAAAGGGATAGTTCACCCAAAAATGAAAATTACTCATGATGTACTCACCCTCAAGCCTGTATATGACTTTCTTCTTTCAGACAAATACAATTGGAGTTATATAAAAAAAAATGTCCTGGATCTTCCAAGGTTTATAATGGCAGTAAATGGGTGGTGATATCCAATAGTCCAATAAAGTGCATCCATCGATCATAAAAAGTGCTCCACACGGCTCTGGAGGGGTTAATAAAGGCCTTCTGAAGCGAATCGATGCGTTTGTGTAAGAAAAATATCCATACTTAAAACTTTATAAACCGTAATCTCTAGCTTCCGCTAACTGTTGTCACCACCCATTTACTGCCATTATAAAGCTTGGAAGAGCCAGGACATTTTTTTTATATAACTCCAATTGTATTCGTCTAAAAGAAGAAAGTCATATACACCTAGGAAGGCTTGAGGGTGAGTACACATCATGAGTAATTTTCATTTTTGGTGAACTATCCCTTTAAATTATTAGGATTTTAGTTGCAAAACTACATAGATATGCCACTTTGGAAGAAATTATGGTTACCATGGTGGTTCTTCATACATAAACGTGTGAAATAAACTGATTCCACATAACGTCTCTCCATTCTTACCATAATTTACCATGGTATCTGCTGTCTCAGACAAAAAAAAACTATACAATTACTGTTACACCTACAATAAACGTGTGGTAAAAGTTTTTTTTTTTTTGTCAAAATATTTTTCAAATAAGATCCTGCAAATTATTTTGTGACTATACAGATGTCAAAAAAAGATATTTCGACAAACTACAGTTGCCATGATGGTTTCTGGTACATAGACACATTTAATTACTTATAATTCCCTTACACCAAACAAAGTAAATAATAGTGAGGAAAAACAATAATAAAATGTTTCAGCATTACCCTGGCCTCTCTCCATCCTTACCATAATTTACCATGGTATCCACGGTCTCCACTAAAATACCATAAAATTACTGCTACTACTACAATAAAAATATGTGGTAATTTTTAGAAGATCAGGTATGAAATAATTTCGACTTTACAGAAGTAAAAAATGACTAACTTCTATGACATTTCGGCAGAAATTACGGTTTCCATGGTGACTTCTCGCGGACGCGTTGAATTACGAAACTTTTCCCGCCCACACACTCCGGCATAAAATTACTCTACGACAGCAAAACGGTTTTTAAAACAAAATTATTTTAAAATTAGATCCCGTATTCAATTATTTCGACTTTACGAAAGTAAAAACGTACTGACATTTCGGTAGAAACTACGGTTGCCATGGTGATTCCTCGTACTCAGACGAACACATATACGAAGGTATGTTTTTTACACAAATACGCTGAAATAAAATATCTCCAGCATAGCCCAGACTTCTCTCCATCCTTGCCATGATTTCCCACGGTAACCACTGTCTCCGGCAAAATAATAATAATAATAACAACAATAGCTTCACTACTACTACTACTACTAAAACTGCACAGCACAGTATTTATACGGTTACCATGGTGATGGTTCGTGCTGAATTACCTGTATGCCGCCACGGCGCGGTTGTTCAGGTACTTCTGCGCGGTCATTACGCCCACGAACAGGAAGCTGCTGGACCGGGTCACCGCGGGCTTCTCCGTGCTGGGCATCAGCGCCGCTCCGTACTCCTTCTTCATCATCATCATCATCATCATCCCCGCTCCTCCGCAGCCGCCCGTGCCGCCGCTCGCCCGCCGCTTGTGACCCGCTTTCTTCAGCTCAGTGGCCCGGGGCAGGATGAGCCTTGACGCCAGCGTGAACCCGACCACAAGACCCAGCAACACGCTGAACCACGACCTGCGGCTTCTGCCTGCCATTTCAGCGAATACTCACAGGGCTTTTGTTTCTTAACGCCTTCGGTTTTTGTTTAGTTTTTTCAAACGCCGCCCGCTGCTGCAGTCCCGTCCAGAGCGCTGGGTTTGGGTCCGAGCATGGTCGCCGCCGATCACCGTTTGCCGCCGCTGCTGTGTATGTTGCAGCGCTCCAGTCCCCGTGTTTCAGCGGTCACTGCCATCTAATCACCAACTCTCCCGCGAGCCACGATCGGGTTCGTAAAGGTACCTCCGTCGTTTCGAGCCTGAATCGGTGATCGGTCAGGGGAAATTAACGGTCTGCTGACTCGAGAAGCGCGGCTGCATCCTCATTCACGCGACCGTCTCGCCATTGTGAGTGAACGCAAGTGCTTGAAACGCGTCTGCGGCGACGCAGCGCAACAGTCAAGGGTTTTTGACACGCTGGAGGCGCCGTAGCTCGTCGCTGATTGGCTGCGCACAGCTAGCTGGTTTTTTTCGCGTGAACTGATCTTCTGTAAGATTCAGCAGGAAGCTGTGGTCAAGTTTCATTATTTAGAAAACAAAACCCGTTGCTTATTTACAAAGGTTTACAAGCAGTTTTATTTAATAAATGGTTAGCAATGTTATGTATGTATTAAAAGTACATTTTCAAACAAGAAGCCACTTCTTTGACTTCCTTTTATATAATTATAGGACTTTAAAAGTAGATTTACACTGCTGTTCAAAAGTTTGGGAGCAGTATGATTTTTAATGAGTTTGAAAGAAGTCTCTTCTGCTCATCAAGGCTGCATTTATTTGATCAGAAATACAGAAAAAACAGTAATATTGTAAAATATGTAGTATTTATTATCACTGTTATTATTATTATTATCGCTTTTTATCAATTTAACACATCTTCGCTGAATAAAAGCAGTAATTTCTTTCAAAAAATAAATAAATAATAATAATACTGACCCCAAACTTTTGAACGGTAGTGTATGTTGTTACAAAAGATTTCTATTTTGAATAAATGCTGTTCTTTTTAACTTTTTATTCATCAAAGAATCCTGACAAAAGTATCAAAAATGTTCCAAAAATATTAAGCAGTAAAAAAAAGATTCCAATATTGATAATAAATCAGCATATTATTATGATTTCTGAAGGATCATGTGACACTGAAGACTGGAGGAATGATGCTGAAAATACAGCTTTACATCACAGCAATAAATTACATCTTAAAATATTTTAACATAGAAAACCATTATTTTAAATAGAGTTGTTACAAAAGATTTCTATTTTGAATAAATGCTGTTCTTTTTAACTTTTTATTCATCAAAGAATCCTGACAAAAGTATCAAAAATGTTCCAAAAATATTAAGCAGTAAAAAAAAGATTCCAATATTGATAATAAATCAGCATATTATTATGATTTCTGAAGGATCATGTGACACTGAAGACTGGAGGAATGATGCTTAAAATACAGCTTTACATCACAGCAATAAATTACATCTTAAAATATATTAACATAGAAAACCATTATTTTAAATAGACATTATTTATTATTTATTAGAAACGTTTTCTGTATTTCTGATCAAATAAATGCAGCCATGATGAGCAGAAGAGTCTTTAAAACACATTAAAAATCATACTGATGCCAAATGTTTGAACGGCAGTGCAAGTCTCAGAATAAGTTGTTGTTGATGCTTCTAAAGAGAACAAAATAAATACATAAATACTTTTTTTTTCAGACAAAACTGGACAAAATAAAAGTTTTTGTATTTTGGTATTCATCTGTTTTTAGCTACAACCTGCTTTTTCCATTTTCTCACAAACTTTTTATTTTATCGCTCAAAAATCTGTACTAAAAATTACAACTATATTTATTTTAGATATTAACAAAATCTAGCAGTCACTTTCGTGTGGCTTCTTTAAATATTTTCACACCATAGTAATATTTGGATACTGCAAATAAAATAAGTTTTAAAACGTTTTAAGTAGTCAAGTTCAGTTTATTTTATATTTAATATTCAGTATAGTAATTCTATATTTATATTTAACAGTCAAATGAGGATTTCCTAATCCTAATTCTATCATTTTAGAACTGTGACGGAAACCGTCATGTTCCAAATCACGTGCTAATCTCGCCACCTAGCGGATAAAGTGTGTCCTCGCGAGATTAGAGTTTGTATTGTAGTCGGGTCCTTCCTCTTCTGCAGTGTTTTCATGTCGCAGCGCACATGGATACAATATTAACACACAAGGCATATTACATAATTTTTATCACAATATCAGGACATAAGAATGAATTTGAATAATTTCACTACACTGCATGGATGTTATTTTTGCCAGGTCTATACGAACTAACTTTTACAGTGTTATTTTAGTATCGAGATAATATTGCTTATATATAGTAATGTCGTTTTTGTCATTTTTTTAAATTTTTTTTATGTCTATATAGTTTTTATTAGTACATCAGTTAAACTAAATGAAAATGTGTTCAAGTGTTGCTTTGGCAACTGAAATAAGTTAATTTTTATTTCTGATAATGTTTTGTTTTATTACAGGTAATGAAAATATTTTTTATATAGTTTAAATTAACTATGATAACCCTGCTATCATGAAATACTAGCAATCTGATATATATATATACATATACATATACATACACACAGAGCAAGAGAGAGAACTATTTTTTTTTTCTAATTTTTCTTTTTTTATAACTATTTCTTTTTTTCCCCTTTCTCGGTGTCCTAAAAATCCATCTTATTAAAAAGTGTACATTGTTACTTTGACGGTCCTGAAGCTGAAGAGGAGACAGTGAAATCTTTTGTCCTGACAAATAAGACACAGACAAGCATTGTGTAAGTATGCAGTTTAATTCTGAGAAACTATGAAGTGAGAACAATACAATGACTTAGAAAACAGCAGAGACCTCACACCACTTACAGTAGGCTGCTATTATACATCATTAACCACTGCACGGATGGATCTGTCAATCCCTACATTTACAACAATACAAACACATCAAATGATATGAACATATCACTTTGCATTTGTATTTACTCTCTCTAGGTGATTATTTAGCACAGCCTTCATAAGTGCGAAAAGCTAAAAACAGAAACACGATTATTACTGAAAATCATCAGCCTGCCCCAGGAGTATTAATACCTTTGATGAGGAGGCGTCATTAGAAGCTGTCGATCATACAAACGGGCAATAGCTTCTTAATCATAATGTGCATGAAAGTTGAAAAAAAATCTTCACACAAGTTAAAAGAACAGTCAAAAATGCTAATTTTGTCCTTGACTCACCCTCATGTCATTCTGACTGCAAATGCACCAAAAAAAACGTAAAAGAACTAGAAAACTGTCCAATCAACCTGTGCACTACACGATACTTCTAGTACTACTGCATTGAAAAAAGTAACAGCATACAGGTTTGGAATGACATGAGAGTGTGTAAAAGACAATGCATAAGTCGATTAGCGGGGAAAAAAAAATAGTGTGCATGAAGACCCTTATGTAATATAACCATATTTGCTATTGTCCTGTGATGAGTTGCTGACAGCTTCATTCAGATAATATTTCTGTGTTCCTATGGAGGGCCAAAGGGTCAGAGGTCAGTCTGACCATCCTTTAACCTCATCCACCGGCGGACGGGCCTCTCCTGCCGGGTCTCCAGGAGCACGTTCCTCCTCCATCTCCCGACAGAGGACTGTATCCTACAACGCACACAAACAACAACATTATTAACACAAGACTGTGTGTGAGAACTCTACAGAGTCAGGAAAGACCAATTAACAACCTGGAGCATTTTCCTCTGAAAATGCAAATACAGGCGAGTAAATGATGACAGTTTTCATTTTAGCAGTTTTTCATTTACTAAGACACACACACACACACACACGCACGCACGCACGCACATATATATAGAAACACCTTAATGTCCAAATATCATGTGCAATTAACAATAATAATTTTTCTCTGTGAAATACTGGCACATCCTGAAAAACTAGTAAATGTTTTAGAATTAGTGCATTAAAAAAAAATAGAAATAGCAAATTGCAAAACAATTGCAATGAAAAAAAAATAGTACATTTAAAATTAAAGCATTAAAAACAACATGAGGATGAGTATATTATGTCAAATTATGAGGATGTTTCATTTACATA